CTTGGATATCGGTTTGTTTATCTTTAATTAAAAAGTCTATATTTTTAGCTATCATATCAAGTTTTTGGTTTGCTGTATCTAGTTTTCCAAGCGCCTAAAATATAAAAGGTCATAATAAATATAATAAATATAATATAGTAGTTGTAAAAAAATTTACATAGTAAATTTATTATCGTAAATTTATTATTTTTTTTAAAAAATAAAGTAATTATGCTTACCGCTTCAGTGTTTTTTATAGCCTTATCGACTTTTTTTGCTTCATTAGCTCTGTCAACTTCACTGCTAACTAACATAGTAAACTGCAAATCTTTCATACACATATCATACTGCATCGTTAATCTTTCATATTTTTGCTTAACTTCCATTGCATTGATATATTGCTTATATCGATTAAACTTTGATACTTTATTAGTATACTCTTTGATATTTGTCAAAAGATTTTTAAACGTTTCAAAGGCTAAATAATATTCTTTTTTACGAAAATTTTCTAAAATTTCTTCATTTCCTTCATCTCCTTCTATATTCCTCATCATTGTATTCATCGAAAATTCTGCTGAACTTACTCGGTTCGCCATAATTAAGCAAATTTCTTTATTACTTTCGGCATTTTTGTAAATTTCATGAATTTCCTTAGCTATAATGTTAATTGTAGCAACTATGGGATTGTAAATTGCTAAGATTTCTGCTGTGGTTTGAATTATCGTATCCATTATCAAAATTATTGCAGAAAGTTGTTTATAATTTATTATTACTGTAGAATCTTTAAGTACGTTTAAAAAATAAAATAAAATTACTCTTAAGATTACTCTTAAGAATTGTATTTATATAAAGTTTAACATACTTTGTACATGTGAAAACGAATAATTACACAACTTAAATGACGATGAATTTTGTTTTTTTGTACAATTCACTTTGTTATATGTACTTTGTACTACTGGTCATTCATATCATTTTAGGTAATACTCTAACTTTTATAATTCGTAGATTTGTTTTCGAGAAAAAACATACTGCGCATTTTGTTTTAGTGCAAATAATTAATGTCACTATTTGCTGAAATTGGAATAAAAGGCTTAACAAACGCATCATAAGATACAAATATTTGTTTCTTAATAACTCTATTTATATGTTTATATTATTCTTATTGCTGCGTTTCTATTAGCGTAGTAAAATGATAATTAAAAATATAGTAAATTAAAAAAAAAAAAAGTATATTCAAAAAAGGGTATATTTGAAAACTCGATAATAAATTAGCAAATTATACGAATTTCATACTAAATAAATAAATTTAAATGAAAATACAAAAAGAAAACAAATAATAGAATGTGCTAGTTGTGTTTATCACCATGCAGTATCTATTTTTATTTGAATTTAGTTGTTAGAGGGTGAACTTTGGTACGCTATGCATTATTAGAGTACTGAGCATGAGTAGCTTGTCAACGAAGTGACAAAGCGTTCATTATTGCGAGATCAGATGACATTATGGGTCACATGCATAATTTGTAGGTTTTAGCCTTTTATGGAATGTAATAGATGCTGAGGATTTTCTGGTTAGGTCGGGTTTTTTCCTTGGTCTAGTCTATGATTGCATATGATTGTTTTCAGTGGCGGGGGAAATGTAAATGTTAACGATTGAGTAATAAAGTAAGGGGGTGTTTTCATATGGTTGCGGTTGATAATCAGATCAGTGTAATATGTATGGGATGATGGTAAGGCAGCGTATTTAAGGATAATGTATTTAGTCGCTCGCCTTGCAGGAAGGCTTGTTCTATCGTCCCGCCCAAACCCACCCATTTAACGGTGGTTCTCGGTAAATTGAGAGGTGGCGGTTGATTTGTAAGAAGGTAAATTGGTGAGTAATGTCAAGCCCTGTGGCTGTAATGGCAATGTTTAGTTTTTGTATGTTTGATTATTATGTATCTGTTAAGCTCCGCGGCTGTGGCAGCAGTGCAGGAGGCCCTGTGTTGTGCGATGAGTAGGCTCCGAGGCTGCAGTAGCAGTGCAAGGACCTGGGGTGATTAGGCTCTGAGGTTGCAGTAGCAGTGCAAGGACCTTTGGGGATTTGGGCTCCGCGGCTGCGTGGCAGTGTAAGGACCGGCTCCATGACTATAGGGTTGCAGCGAACGAGTTTTTTGTCTAAGGGTTTGCGGGTCATATGCTATATGTCAGTACAATGATCATCTTGCTGACGTAATTGGCTTCGCGTTGCATTATAAGAGCGATTCTCGTCTTAGCTATGTAAGGTTTATGGGGAGTTGTGGTTGGCATTTAGGGGTATAGCTGTATTGTCTAGTAGTATTGTTTAGGAAATTTGTAGGGTAACGGATAGAGCGTAAATTAGTGGCGAACGGAATTCCCATATGTTTTCCAATTAGTTTAATAAAGTCATCTGATTGAGCAATAATAATTGATTTCTTAGCCGGTCTTGAAATATATCTGTGTCACGATCATAATTATTTATATCGTATCTGATATTATATTTTGTTTTTGATTATTGAATTATATATATTTTTTATTGTAAGTTTATTTTGTCATATTTAGTTTTTAAAAACTTGATTTTAAATCTGTAAACATATAAATTTATTACAATTTCTACTAATTTGACCATATAACCAAACCTCTTCAGGGTGCTCTTCTATTAACAATCCTAATTTAACTATTATAAAAAAACTAAAAAAAATGAACCCCAAAATTTAAATGTTAATAATATAATGATTATTAAATTGTTGAATTGTAATATTAATAATTGCTATGATTTTATCATCTAATATAGATATCATTACCAATAACTTGTTAAAGTGAAAAGGATGTCGAAAAAGTTTACCCTTAAATTAAAAATACTCACCAATCTAAAACTTGCGATGTTTGCCGTTATAACACCTTTTTACAGTGGAGGGCTTCATAATTCAGTAATTAATGATTCAGATAAAATATGTGACGTATTTACTTCAAACTACGTGATACATAAATATCACTCACCGGTAATTTTATTAACGTGTGTGCCTATTTAATTCACTGAATCAAAATTTTAAAAATAGAAGTAAGATCTTTTAACAAACCCCAAGTGTAATGAATAAAAGTTTTCTTTTCCTTTTTCTTTATTATTATTTTCTAGCATAGCTTTATCATTATTATTATTTCGTATGTACATAGTTCTTTTCCAATTCCATTTTGATAGCAGTAACTGTCTTCGTTTCGTATACTAAAATGATAGTTGATGGTGTCTTTGTGGCTTATTTCATGCAAGCGCGTATACGCCCAAAAAATCGCGTATACGTACGTACGTACTTACAAAATATGTAGATCCCTGTGTCTTGAGCGAATTCAAGTATATACGTTCAAGTTAAAAATAAAATGTATATAATGTCTTGAATTCAATAAAGAACGACAGTACCTGTCCACTTTCAAATAACCAAAAATAAATAAGTACATGCCACTTTCAATTCTAGTAAATAATAATTACAAGTATCTACTTATCTGAATTTCCCTTGAGACTTTATCTTTTGAATTCGACTTGTAACTTTAATAAACCTATCGTGACTCAATTCGACGGACTGAATTGACTTTTGATTTGGCTTATTAGACTCGAATACTGGTATACTTGTGGAATCAAATATTGACATTCACATTAGTTACTTGCAGAAATTGTGGTAGAGAACGGTCTGTTAACCGACACCGTTGATATATCACGTGAACTTAAAGTTATCCTTATTAAGATATCACCAAATCATCATCACCGTCCTTAAGATCACCACTTTATCATTCTTAACAACATCATTCGTCATTGTATCACTCCATCATCATTACCTATTGATATTGTCGCGGGTTAATAGGACACTTTCGTGACTAAAAATCCAGCTCATGAGGCAGACACTTCTCCAACCATCAACTTTGCTTCTTCAACTTGGTGAGTATTTCACTTACTTACTTTCAACGACTTAAACAAAAATTATTAATTAACTTTATTTTGCTTGTGCCTTTAAATACAAATTTTAACTATCATTAAATTACATAATTATTGATCACGCCATTTTACCTTTTTAATTGTTTATTACTAATTACGCCATTTTTCATTAACTCTATTATGACATTTTTCATGCACCACTTATTAATTTGCACATTACCCATCTAATTCATGCATCACATACTTATCCATTACTGCATTGTTCCCCTTGATCATTCGTTCACTGATCCCGATCCTGGTCGATTGTCATGTGGGCACGTGATCTTGTGACTATCAATCAATTCGAAACTACCCACGCACTAAGTAAACCAAATACTGGTTCTCACCATGATACAAGCTAGACTCTCTGAAACTTTGTCCCTGAAGTTTCCACTTGCACAAAATCTCAATTACCCAATACAGACACACATACTTCCATCTTAACAACCATCCACACATGTACACAATTTACATGAACCTAAATATATTAATAAGCACCATACTTTCATGCATAGTCCATCTCCTTATTTTGGTACTTCCATCTTTACTACCAATTGTTGCATAATTGTATCTTACTTCAGTATTCTTATAACCAACTGTTACTTAATTTTATCTTACTTTGGTATTTTACCAACTGCTCATAATTCAATTTCACATCTACAATTTTGCTCATTTGAACCTTCCTAAATATAACTATCGATCCTTAATCATTATTTTTTTTTATATTGTAAATACTATATTATAACATTTCAAACATCAATTAATGTTTTTCCTCAATCAAATACATATCTTACTAGCAACATTTTGCAACTATCACCTTTTCATTTTGACCTTTCACTTTGTCACAGCATGCAGCATTCTATTTACTTTGATTAACTTCTTTCTCAAGATCCTTAAAACTATAAAGCTTCAAAGTACTTAACATTTTAGCTTTTGTGTTTTCATATTAATCACCTTTTTCAGCATTGCCGATTATACTTTTTTGACAATTCAAACTATCTAACTTGGTGAAACCTTTCACATATTCCTCAGCTTTGAACATTCTATTTGACACATGCACCTAATTTAATCGATCCACAGACATATTTCTCATTTTAACAGTTTTCTCATATTTATCACCAAATTTAGAATCACTTATTTCATTTTTATAGCAATTTTCAGAATCATTTGCTTCACAATTCTGTTTGGGTGAATTTTCAGATTTCCTATTATTTATCTCATCACCATTTATTGAACTAACCTTTATGTTCTTTTGTCAATCTCCACTTCACTACTTGTTTTATTGATTGCCTGTTTCTTTTTATTATCTATTTCTTATTTATTACTAATTATTTTCTTATTCATCACTTCATCTTCATCAACATCTATATACTATTTAAATAGGTTGCAAACAGGTATTTCAGACTTTTGTTCATCTTTTTTAATGATTATTCCATTTCGGTAACATTGTTCAATGCTATATGTTTCAACGAAGTCTTCCATTTCTATAGATTTTTGGTGATTAATAGATTCTTTACACTCATTTGAGTCAAGTATGTTTTTAATCTTTATTTCTTTTGTCTGTTTTATTTCATTATTTGATTTACTAATTATATTTGTCACTCTTTTATTTATTCTATTATCATCAACTTGCTCAACATCTTTTAATCCACAATTCTTATATTTCATATAATCATTCATCATATCAATATAACTCACTATATCAAATAACCTTTGCCATAATTCAATCCATGCCTTTGTGCTTCTACATACTTGTTTAACATATACTATCTCAATTTTTGCAATATATAACACCATATATACTGATTTCATATTATTGTCCTATCCTCTAATTTGGGTATATACTTTATATTTCTAAAAAAAGTTCACCATCGTTATTGTATCTCCACCTTCATGATATGGTTCTATACTTTTAGTATCAGATTTCTTTGGTATCAGTAGATAAAGGCAGTATAATAAGCAACCAAATATATACAGTCAATTTATTGCTTTTATAATTCGGTATAATATTTAGTAGTGAATATTAATTAAATTTTTTTTTTTTGTAACAGCTTTTCTCCAGGATTCTTATAAAGGTTCTTACACTCAAGATACTTTTGTCTTTGACAAAATATGTTGGTTATTGTTTTGCTTTTGTCTGTATCTATTTTAATTTTTGTCTTTACTAACTCAATAAAATTTCTTTTATGTTTAGTAACTTACTGATAATCTGCTCAAATTCTTGTGTCACTGGTTAATAGAACACTTTTGTGACTAAAAATTCAGCTCAAGAGGCAGACACTTCTCCAATTATCAGCAACTTTAACACTTTGCTTCTTCAACTGGGGTAAGTATTTTGCTTACTTACTTTTAATGATTTATATTTGCAAGTAATCAAAAATGATTAATTAACTTTATTTCACTTGTGTCTTTAAATACAAAGTTTAACTATTGCTAAATTTATTGTTTGAAAATAGATTAAAAATTACGATTAATTCAGAATTGATCTGAATCTGATCTGAATCTGTAATTCAGATTGAATTCAGGAGTGATTCATGCCAATCTGATAGTTTGTCACAATATAAGTGATAAATGCGAATTTATCATGTGACAAATGTGAATTTATACTTATATTGTAGCATAAGGTGTGATACATTTGAATTTATCACATGACAAATTTGAATTTATTATATAGAGTGATTATATAAAGATATGATCTAAAATTAAGCCCAATCCTGCTCAATCTGGGCCCAATCTGATGTTTTAGGGGCTAAACCTAATCTGACGATTTGGATTTCACAAATCCGAATCTGATCTATGCTGACTTTTTTGAATACTAGCTAAATTATATAATTATTGGTCATGCTATTTTACCTTTTTAATTTTTTATTACTAATCACACTATTTTCTATTAACTCTATTATGACATTTTCAAACATCTAATTCATGCATCATAAACTTAAATATTACAGTATTGTTCTCCTTGATTGTTCATTCACTGATCTTGATCCTGGTCGATCATCATATGGCATGTGATTTTGTGACAATCAATTAATTAAAAACTACTCCAAGCACTAAGTATACTGAATACTGGTTCTCACTATAACAATATCAAAGTATCTGTTCAATAGCATCATATTGTCTAATTAGTTTCCTAACAGTTATAAAAACATACTTTGTTTGTCCAAAGTTATCATTATTTTTCATATACTGTTAGATAGATTGGCATATTATTTATATTGTTTCATTAGCTCTCTCAATCAACAGTTACACTAGTTTAAACAGTTCTAATCATTTAAATACAGAGCTGCTAATGTCAAAATAAATATCTAAACAGTTATTTAAGAAAATTTTAGTGCTTAATTAGTAATATGCAAATCCTGATTTTTTCACATGATGCAATTTATGCATGTGTGAATTTTTCAGAATTGCTTATAAATTTTCAGAATATTTCAGAATCTATTAAAATTTCAGCTTGCATTATAGTGGCTTCTTAGCATTAAGATATATATAAAAAATCATATACCAGATAGGTAAAAAGTTTTTAAGCAGTAAATCTTTAGGAGGCATTCATAAATAATGTTATATACACACATAGAACATCTTGACCCCAGGACTCTGTTTTTTAATTACTAAGGAAATCATTCTGAAATTTATAATTATTGCAATATTTTTGTAAATTGTATGTATAAATCTTAGCAAAGATAGTAAAAAAGGGATTGTTTAGAGACTTTTTCCATCTGGTATAAAAATAAATAGAATTAAATATTAGCAGAAATAGAAATAAGTTCTGTTTAGGGTCCTGCTAAGAAAGTTTTCACCCACCTAGTATATATATAATTTGCACATTAAACATATAAATATGTATGTATATACGTAACAATAGTGATAATCATAATACTTATCATTTTAATAAATTCATGTATAGTGTACCAGATGAAATTTCTTTTTGTTTTGTTATTCTCTTTTATTTTATTTTATCTTTTATTATTGGTATAGTTTTTATTCTCATAATTATCATTATTATTATATATATAGTTCTTTGCCAATCCATTTTCATAGCAGTAACCGACTTCTTTTTTTGTATTGTGTTAATATTTTATCAAGTATACTAAAATGGTAGTTGATGGTGGCTTGGTGGCTTATTCTATGCAAGCGTGTATATGCTCAAAAAATCACGTATATGTGCTTACACAAATTTTTAGATCCCTGCTCCATGAGCGTATATGCTCAAAAAAGAACATATATGTTCAAAAAAGAACGGATGCATTCAAAAAAGAGCGTAAACGCTCTAATAAAACAAAATGTATATAAGTGCCTGAAATTCAATAAAGAGTGACAGTTCATGTCCACTTTCAATTCCTAATAAACAATAAAGTGTATATAAATATCTGAATTTGTCCCTTGTGTCTTGCCTTTTGAATTCGACTTGTAACTTTAATAAACCCTTTGAGACTCAATTCGACGGACTGAATTGACTTATAACTTCGATTTTGCTTATTAAGACTCGGGTTATAGAACGTTTGTGAAATCAGATATTGCCATTCACATTAGTGACTTGTGGGAATTGTGGTAGAAAACGACACTTACGACTGTTATTCGACTCTGGTAATCCATCACAGTCCTTAAAATCACCACTTTATTATCATCCTTAACAGCATCACCACCATTGCATCACCCATTCTCATCACTCATTGATATCAAAGTATTACTCTATAGTGCCTATCGCCCTACTAGTTCTTTAACCCTACTCAATTTTGTTGTATCGTTGTGGTCGTGTATGTGCCGGTTTTTTGCTATTTATGGCTTGCAGTGCTT